CAACTCATACATAGAGACTATAGTGGATACTTATACTGAGGCGGTCTCCTCACAGCAACTCATACATAGAGCATATAGTGGATACATATACTTTGGCTGTGTCCTCATAGTAACTCATACATCATAGTAACTCATACATAGAGCATATAGTGGATATATATATATATATATACTGAGGCCGTGTCCTCATTGTAACTCATACATAGAGCCTATAGTGGGTACATAAACTGAGGCAGTGTCCTCACAGTAATTCATACATAGATCATATAGTGGGTACATTAACTGAGGCAGCATCCTCATAGTAACTCATACATAGAGCATACAGTGGGTACATTAACTGAGGCAGCGTCCTCATAGTAACTTATACATAGAGCATATATTGGGTACATTAACTGAGACAGCGTCCTCGCAGTAACTCATACATAGAGCATATAGTGGGTACATTAACTGAGGCAGCGTCCTCATAGTAACTCATACATGGAGCATATAGTGGGTACATTAACTGAGACAGCGTCCTCCCAGTAACTCATACATAGAGCATACAGTGAGTACATTAACTGAGGCAGCGTCCTCATAGTAACTCATACATAGAGCATTCAGTGGGTACATTAACTGAGGCAGCGTCCTCATAGTAACTCATACATAGAGCATATAGTGGGTACATTAACTGAGGCAGCGTCCTCATAGTAACTCATACATTGAGCATTCAGTGGGTACATTAACTGAGGCAGCGTCCTCATAGTAACTCATACATAGAGTATATAGTGGGTATATTAACTGAGGCAGCGTCCTCATAGTAACTCATACATAGAGCATATAGTGGGTACATTAACTGAGACAGCGTCCTCGCAGTAACTCATACATAGAGCATATAGTGGGTACATTAACTGAGGCAGCGTCCTCATAGTAACTCATACATAGAGCATATAGTGGGTACATTAACTGAGGCAGCGTCCTCATAGTAACTCATACATAGAGCATATAGTGGGTACATTAACTGAGGCAGCGTCCTCATAGTAACTCATACATAGAGCATATAGTGGGTACATTAACTGAGGCAGCGTCCTAATAGTAACTCATACATAGAGCATATAGTGGGTACATTAACTGAGGCAGCGTCCTCATAGTAACTCATACATAGAGCATTCAGTGGGTACATTAACTGAGGCAGCGTCCTCATAGTAACTCATACATAGAGCATATAGTGGGTATATTAACTGAGGCAGCGTCCTCATAGTAACTCATACATAGAGCATATAGTGGGTATATTAACTGAGGCAGCGTCCTCGCAGTAACTCATACATAGAGCATATAGTGGGTACATTAACTGAGACAGCGTCCTCATAGTAACTCATACATAGAGCATTTAGTGGGTACATTAACTGAGGCAGCGTCCTCATAGTAACTCATACATAGAGCATTTAGTGGGTACATTAACTGAGGCAGCGTCCTAATAGTAACTCATACATAGAGCATATAGTGGGTATATTAACTGAGGCAGCGTCCTCATAGTAACTCATACATAGAGCATATAGTGGGTACATTAACTGAGGCAGCGTCCTCATAGTAACTCATACATAGAGCATACAGTGGGTACATTAACTGAGGCAGCGTCCTCATAATAACTCATACATAGAGCATATAGTGGGTACATTAACTGAGGCAGCGTCCTCATAGTAACTCATACATAGAGCATACAGTGGGTACCTATACTGAGGCCGTGTCCTCATTGTAACTCATACATTGAGCATAAAATGGATACATATACTGAGGCGGTGTCCTCACAGAAACTCATCCATAGAGCATAGCCACTTATACATCAAGCATACCAATTCATACATTAGAGCATATATTGGAAACATACCGAAGCTGTACCACAACCAGTTCATGTACAGATACTGAGGCCCAGAGATCTCATATGCAGAAATTCTACCACTCTCTGGAAAAGCCTGCGTATCTGCGATAATTCACAGATAACAGCAATCAATGCCACATGCCTTGATAAAAACAAGTGTGTGTGTGTGTGGTCGTATTTTTAGGTTTTAAAACCTGTCATATACATGTGTGTACTTCAATCAGGCATCCAGGAAAGTTTTCTTACCTTGGATATTACTCTGTCTTCAGGCTGTGGAATTCCAGCAGACTTTATACAGCCAGGATCTCCATTATTAGCACTCTTTTTCACAATGCCTCATTGCATTATCAGCACTCTTTTGCACAGTGCCTCCTTTTTATTATCAGCACTCTTTTCCACCAAACGTATAAACTTACCTAAATGCTCACCACACAAACCTCCTAAATGTGACCTATTTGTTAGAAAGAAGCCTAATGTAAGCAGCTGGGAGGGACTGAAAGAACAGAGACCCAGGTGCCTATACTAGTTTTAATCTAAATTACTAATGCACTTACCTGGACAGTTGCAGGCCTGTGTTTCAGTGGCCAAATGGGGATTTGAACAACTGACAGCCTAAACTGTTTAAACTACAGGCTTCCATCTGTACCCCATATGCCGTTCATCATCACCAGTGGGAGAAGATGTAAACCAAACCCAAGTGGAATACATAGAATAGGTATACCCAGGTAGTCACCTTATGGAAGTGCTGTTTGCTGGGTCTTCAGTGATAAAGGCTTAGACTCGGCTGGGCCTCCTGTATGCAGTGGACCGCTGTCATTACAACTGAGAGAGAGATAGGTTAGACTCCTGGTTGTTGAAGTAGGTACCCAGGCTGGCGATTCTTACAGATGTGCTGTTTGCTGGGTCTTCACGGTTAAGAGGCTGAACCCTGGCCTGACTTCATGTAGGCAGTATATCACATTCATCCCCTGAGTGTGTACCCAAGCTGGCATGCAGTGGACCATTTTCATCCCCAGAGGGAGAGGTTGGGACTGACCCCCGGTCACTAAAGGGGGTACCCAGGCTGGCTACCTTACAATAGTGCTTTGCTGGGTCTTCAGGGCTTAGAGTATGAACCCTGGCAGGGCTACAAAAATATTGCCTGGTGAGCATAAAAGAAAATCTAGGCCTGTATAAGCAGACTCCTTCCAAACTGCTGTGCAGAACAGGAAAAAAAGACTGCCTGATGGGAAGGGGGAGGATCTATTTATACCAGTTTCAGAGTTGTTTCCTGTCCTTTCTGCTGTGAGGGGAGGAGCTAACCTTTGAGTAAATGCTGCCATGAATAATGGTCAGGAAAGTAAATTTGAGGTGTGAACTTCATATCTGAGAGTCAAATAGAACTGTCAAATAGTGATGTCCCGAACGGTTCGCCGGCGAATAGTTCCTGGCGAACATATCGTGTTCGCGTTCCCCACGGATGGCGAACATATGCGATGTTCGGTCCGCCCCCTATTAATTTACTAATACCAAGTAAAAATTACTTAGTATTAGTAAATTGTGCCCCTACTCGCAATACCGCGAGTAGGGGCATGTCTATTAAACAGTGAGCAGCCCTAAAATTAACAATAAGGGGGGGACATATTTTCCCCCCCGGCCCCCACCCCTGAGCGGTGGGTGGGGGCCCTAAAAATAACAATAAGGGGGGGACAGCAGGTGGGTGGGGGCCCCTGAGCGGTGGGTGGGAGCCGGGGGGGACAGCAGGTCCCCTCCTTATTGTTATTAGGGCCCCCACCCACCGCTCAGGGGTGGGGGCCGGGGGGGACCGTAGGTCTCCCCCCCCCCTTCAACCACTATTGTGGCCAGAAAGAGTCCCTGTGGGTTTTAAAATTCGCCTGCCTATTGAAGTCTATGGCGGTTCGCCGGGTTCGGCCGGTTCGCGAACATTTGCGGAAGTTCGCATTCACGGTTCGCGAACCGAAAATTTTATGTTCGCGACATCACTACTGTCAAATACTGTGGTTACATTGCACTTTTAAAAATTCACATTTTTTTGGTGCTAAAAAGTAAATTTGGGGCGTGCACTTCATATCCGAGAGTCAAATAGAACCGTCAAATACTATGGTTACGTTTAGTTTGAAAAATGCAAATTTTTTTGGTGCTAAAAAGTAAATATGGGGCGTGCACTTCATATCTGAGAGTCAAACAGAACCGTCAAATACTGTGGTTACATTGCAGTTTGAAAAAATCAAATTTTTTTGGTGCTAAAAAGTCAATTTGGGGCATGCACTTCATATCTGAGAGTCAAATAGAACCGTCAAATACTGTGGTTACATCGCACTTTGAAAAATTCTAAAATTTTTGGGTGCTAAATAGTACATTTGCGGCCTGCGGTCCATTTCTTGCAGTCCAATAAAACCGTTAAAAACTACTGTTACATTGTTGGTTTAAAAAATCACACTTTTTTGAGACAGTGAAGTAACTGTATTAATTACGCCTGTCACACTATTGTGTGACCTCTAGAAATGTTTTCTCTTTAGGACACCGGCACTGCCTTACTGTCAGTGAACTTAATTGTTGACTATTGGCGGTTACATTGTCGCCTGACATAAATCATCTGTTAGTTTGGGCCTAGCAGTTTGGCGCATGTCCTTCCACCACCGAGGATTGCAGGGCATTTCTCTTTGCCTCCTGTTGCCTCCTCCTCCTACTCTGCTTCCTCCTCCTTTACCACCTCCTCATCCGGTCAGCGTAACACCTTCACCACCAGCCAGGGGAAACAACAGCAGGCTGTTTTAAAACTCATATGTTTGGCGGAAAAACCCCACACCGCGCAGGAGCTGTGGACGGGCATGGAACAACAGACTGATGAGTGGTTGTTGCCACTGAGCCTCATGCCAGGCCTGGTGGTGTGTGATAACGGGCGAAATCTCGTAGCAGCTCTGGGCCTAGCCGGTTTGACGCACATCCCTTGCCTGGCTCATGTGCTGAATTTGGTGGTGCAGAAATTCCTGAAAAACTACCCAGATATATCAGAGCTGCTGCAGAAAGTGCGGGCCGCCTTTGCGCGCTTTAGGCGTTCTCACCCTGCTTCTGCTCACCTGTCTGTGCTGCAGCGTAACTTTGGCCTTTCCGCTCACCGCCTCATATGCGATGTGCCCACAAGGTGGAACTTGCACATGCTGGAGAGACTGTGCGAGCAGCAGCAGACGATAGTGGAGTTTCAGCTGCAGCACGCACGGGTCAGTCGCTCTGCACCAGACTTGCCCTCCAATAGATCCTCGTTAAAGGATTTAAAGTGTACTCATTCCAATTACAGGGCCTCAAAAGAGTCCTGCATTGTTATTTTTCGTCACTACCTCCCCGCGTCGGGAGTGGGTAATTTGCACGCCTGCTGCCTTCCTTGGATGTGGTAGCCGTTTCTCAGGCTCCCTCTCCAGAATCAAACCCTGATTTCCCCATTACCCGTGGTCACCATGGTAGGCGAAGAAAGTACCATCAACAGTTGATAGGGCAGACATCCGAATGCGTCGTCACCGTCACGGGGACGTGCGATCAGCCCAAGGTTATCTAGAGTCACCAAAGTGCCTGCACAACGACTGCCGAGTTGCCCACATTCTAACTTGTGCTGATTACTGGGTGGCCACCCTGCTGGATCCCCATTACAAGGACAATGTGCTGTCCTTAATTCCCTCCCTGGAGTGTGATCGGAAGATGCGCGACTACAAGCGCACGCTGGTAGATGCGCTGCTGAGGGCATTCCCAACTAACACCGGGGGCTCAGTGGAAGCACAAGGCAAAGGCAAAGGCAGAGGAGAACGAAGAGTTCGCCAACGTAGCTGGGGTACCGCCAGCACCTCAGAAGGCAGGGTTTGCATGACCGAAATGTGGAAAAACGTTGTCAGCACGCCACAACAACCAGCACCACCAGCTGATAAGGATCATCTTAGCAGGAGGCAGCATTTCAGCAACATGGTGGAACAGTACGTGTGCACACGCCTACACGTACTGACTGATGGGTCTGCCCCATACAACTTCTGGGTCTCCAAATTGGGCACATGGCCTGAGCTTGCCCTTTATGCCTTGGAGGTGCTGGCCTGCCCTGCAGCCAGTGTATTGTCTGAATGTGTGTTTAGCATGGCAGGGGGCGTTATCACAGACAAGCACGGCCGCCTGTCCACAGCCAACGTGGACAAGCTCACATTTATTAAAATGAAACAGGCATGGATCCCACCAGACTTGTCTGTACCTTGTGCAGATTAGACCTTTATATTGGCCTCACCCAGCCATTGTTATACTCAAGTGCACTTATTCTTTGTTTTCTTTTTTTATATGTCCCAATTGTTTGCAGGGCACTTGTACTCTTACCCCCATTTTACTTCCTTTGCAGCCCTCTAGCCCTTTCCAGGACTTTTTTAGAGCCATTTTAGTGCCCAAAAGTTCAGGTCCCCATTGACTTCAATGGGGTTCGGGTTCGGGGCCAAGTTCTGGTCAAGTTCGAGGCCGAACTCGAACTTTTTGCCGATGTTCAGCTGAACCCGAACATCCAGGTGTCCGCTCAACTCTACTAGTTATCCATAAAATCCTGCCATCATGGACCCTGATGCCAATATAACTATTTAGTGTTCATAACTCTCCCTGGGTCCCAGACACCTGCGAAGGTTTGATAGGCTTGACTTGTTAGCCATGTAATAAAATAAAACAATATTATCAAAAACCCGTGAAAATTGATATACTCCATAAAGTGAGGATTCAGAAAGGAAACAGACCCATCTAAATTACCACTCTAAGCACCATAACCTACAGACTTCTTTAGTGGGTATAGTGCAAGAAAACCCCTGACACTATCCCGCTGTAAGGAGAATAACCATTTTGAATGGTAACCACTTATCTGTTGAAGTTCACATTCTGTATTTTGTACAACTTTGAACATGGTACATGATGTAACTAAGACGGGTCTGACCTAAGAATGATTCACTGAAGTCGACCTTAAAATATTTCGGCCCTGTTTGAATCAATCAATTCAACTTTAAACAGATAACAATTATTCAGCTTAGGTGAACTCTTTTAAAAATTCCTTGGATACAATCTTCCAGCAAAGCAGAAATATTGCTGATTACCTAATGTTTAGTGAATTACCAGTTGCTAGAGATACAGTCTACGGCCTTGTTTTAATATTTTTGGATAAGCTTTTAATATGATCACAATTTGTTAGAAAAACTATAAAGTCTATGGGATTTTTTTGTAGATAAATCATTTAGAAAGTGTTCAATGTGATAAATTGAAAGGCTTATCCAAATATTTTTAATTGGATCAAATGCAGGAGAGTGAAATTCACTTTCTTAGGTTGTAATTGTTGATTTCCTGATTCAGCTAGAATATAACACTGTTTATTGGGACAGACTTAATTTAATTAATATGAGATACATTGTTGATATTCCTTTGCAAAAAATGTAAAAATTAATCTTCTTCAATATAGGTTAAGAAAATATCATAAGAATATTAGAGGACCACTATAGTGCCAGGAAAACATACTTGTTTTCCTGGCTCTATAGGGTTCTTGGGTCCCCCTCACCCTCTGGGTCCCCCTCCCGCTGGACTCTAGAGTGAGGAAAGGGTTAATCCCTTACTTTTTTCTTTTTTTTTTTTTGTAAATCTGTTTTTATTGAGGAAAGTTCAATAAAAAAGGAGACATAGAAAATGAGGCTCGCAGGCCTCCATGTAAAACGTTGTGACATAACATATCATGCATTATACAGCAGTCCATAATATCCAACAAATTATTGCTATAGGTAACATTTGCGGCTTTAAGGTAATGCGTAAAAAGATAAGCATAAGACATGACTAGTGTATATGCGGTATGTAATTAGATGGTATGAGGGTGTTTTCCCACTGGTCAGATTCGGGGTGGAACCCTATATGTATCCATTGGTTACACTTCATGTTCTTATCGCGACCTCCTGTGTGATTGTATACACCGCATTTAGTCATCCAGTGTGGATCCCGTGTTCCTATGCCATGGATCGGTTAAGTGGGGGGGAAGGTATTTGTAGTAGAAAGTAGAAATGAAAGGGGAAGAAAGGTTTCGTAGGTCTAGAAGAGTCCGTCCTTGGGCTCCACTTTTCCTCCTCGCATCGGAGTGGGTGAGTAGTCGGTATGTGGTGTTCGGGAATTATCTAGTCGTTTTGTGGTGGATCGTGCTGAGTGTGTAAGGTAATGTAGTTTAGACCGCTGTCAGGTTACTGTCTCCCGTTATAGGCATGTCAGGGGTCTGATCTAGTATGTTGTGTCAGCTCCCTGGTCGCCCGTCGGTGTGCGGTGTCCTGTAATTTACGTTGGGATTCCAGGTACGTGTTAACCGTCCGTGTGGTTATTGAGTGTGGTTATGTAACGCCGTGCTGACGTTCGTTCAGCATGTGTGTGTCCTGTAAAAGGTCTACGTTAACAAGGGAGTGTGTGAATCCATGTGCTTTGTCTCCCACCGGGGCAAGGTGTCCCATGGGGGGGTCATGGCCAGTGATAGGAAGGATCTGGGATCCACCCACCAGCCCTCCACTCCTTATGTGCGTGGTGGAGGCCCACTATCTACCCGCTTGATACGAGAACCAGGGTCGCCACATCTCCGCGTGTCTTGTTGAACGCCCCGCCTGGGATGCCCGTAGCGCCTCCGCCGCCTGTATATCCCCAACCCTTTGGAGCCACTCTTCCGTAGTGGGGACTTCTGATCTCTTCCAATAGACGGGGATCAAGGATTTGGCCGCATTCAGTAAATGGCGTAGGATCGATCTCTTGTATCCGGGGATGGATTGCGAGGTGATATGTAATAGGGCCAGTTCTCGGGACCATTCTGTGTCGTCCCCCAGGATTGCCATTATCTCTGTGTGGATGCGATCCCAGTAGTGCGAGATAGTCCGACATTCCCACCACAGGTGAAACAAGGTGCCCCTTGCCTCCTGACATCTCCAGCATGTCTCCGGGAAAATCTTCTGTAATACGACTGGGGTCCTATACCACATGGAGATCAATTTATAGTTGACCTCCTGGTAGTAGGAACTTGAGGAACTTTTATGTTGCCATAGCAGAGCTGTTCCCCATTGTGTTGGTGTGATTTGTATCTCTAGTTGTGCTTCCCACCGTCTTTGAAAGGTATTATTATCCGAGGAGGCTCCTATCAACAAATGTTGGTAAAGGAGAGATACTGCCTTTTCAAGTTTGGTGCCTCGACGGCAGAGGCCCTCGAACCACGTAAGGTCCCTATGTAGCAGCTGTTTTTGAGGTAAGGAGTCGTAATAATGTGTCAATTGGAGGTAGTGTAGGGTTAGTAGGGGCGTCTGTGGTCTGTCAGCCAGCAATGAGTTCAGGGGCCGTACGGTTCCCCCTTCCAGAATTGTGCAGAACGGGACATAGTCCCTTTCCCCCAGAAACGCCCAGGTCCCATATGGGAGTCCTCCTCCAATGTCGGGGTTATGGGTAACCGGGAACATAGGGCTAGGGGTTAGGGAGACCTGTGTCATTCTTCTAGTTGTCTTTCACGTTTTCAATGTCTGTGCTAACGGGTTCCCGTCCTCTTCTTTCCCACAGCGACCCGTCCCCTCTCGCCACACATCAGCCTTACGTTTGGTCCCCGAGTCACCTCTGTCCAGGGTTACCCATTGTTTCGGGTTTTCGGCTGCGTGCCACTCCAGGATACGTTGCATTGTGGTAGCTTGGTGGTACTTTTTAAAATCCGGGAGTGACAGGCCACCCCTGTATCTGGGTAAGCACAGTGTTTCATATCGTAGTCGGGATCTCTCCCCTCTCCAGACATATCGGATGACCACCGTTTTCAGAGTTGAGAAGAAGGTTGCCGGTAGCGATATTGGGATGGTTTGAAATAGATACAGGATCCGTGGTAGTACGTTCATCTTGAGGACCGCGATCCGTCCGTGCCAGGTGATGTGTGGATATGCCCAGCGATCAAGGTCTGATGTTATTTGTTGTAACATGGTGGTAAAATTGTGTCGATAAACGTCTTGCGGATCGGTGGTGATCCAAATGCCTAGGTATTTCATTTTCCCTTCGCACCAGCGGAATGGAAAAGCAGAGCTCAGTGTAGCATATTCATTCTGTGGGAGGGTGACATTAAGAACCTCACATTTCGTAAGGTTAAGCTTGAATCCCGAGATCCTTCCAAAGCGTTCAAATTCTAGGAGTAGACAGGGCATTGTGATTCGTGGGTTAGAGATGAAAAAGAGAAGGTCGTCCGCATAGGCAGCCACCTTGTGTTCTGACCCCTTCCAAATAAAACCGTGAATGTCCGGATTCTGTCTTATAGCCTGTAGGAGCGGTTCCAGGGTCATGGCAAACAAAAGAGGGGATAGGGGGCATCGGTGTCTGGTCCCGTTGTTAATTTCAAAGTTGGTGGTCAGTGCTCCATTCACCCTGACCGCCGCGTTGGGTTTATCGTATAAGGCGGATATCCACGACATCATCTTACATCCCAATCCCATGGCCCTTAGCGTGTGCATCATGTACGACCAGTTGACCTGATCAAAGGCCTTTTCGGCGTCTGTAGAGAGCAGTAAGAGGGGTTCCCGTGAAATTCGCGCTCGGTGTTGTATGGAGAAAAGTCGTAGTGTACTGTCCCGAGCTTCTCGACCTGGGATAAATCCCGTCTGGTCTGCGTGAATTATACTCAGTAGCGCGCGTTG